ATTTTGTTATCAAGTAATGCAGCAAGACTACAGCAGCATCGGGGCTGGGTTCAGTACCATGGAACACAGGGGTACTCTTGACACACCAATAGTACCCTACAGATAGAGGTTGGATGGACTGGACATGCTGCACTCCTAACATTCATAGAATAACATGTCACTTGTACCCTCCAGACCTGGGATAACTATAGTTTTAACTATGATTTGTGGAAAACAAAAATAAATTGGGGGAACAAATAGTTACAACCATTTGACTACAGATCTCAGAAAGTGACTACTTTTGTAAACTATTTGAACAAAATATTGGATTGGCTGCCTTAAACTAATGGCAGGGCTGTATCTGGAACTGCATGTTGAAGATACAAATTGGAAAGAATAGAGCACGCACTATTCCAATATTATCTGACAGTCATATTTGATCTACACAATACATTTCTGAACATTTTGTAAATGTCCTGAATGTCCATTGCCCCAGGTGTACATAATCAAGTCAAACCAATTAACCAATGATATTTTGTAGAGATACACACAAATAAGTTGTGATGCTGTGATACAGTATGACTTTTCAACATGCCACTGAAAAGGTTGAAAGCTGCAATTCATTTTATGATACCTGAAAATACTGTAGAGTAATTCAAAGCCATTTGCAAACAGCAGGTTGGATGCTTAGAAAAAACAACTTTGATCCTCTTTGTCCATCTGAGGGTAAGTGTTCTTGTTTCAAACACTCACTATACCATATTTAAAGGAATCGTTTACTCAGAATACAAACTAACATGATTTTCAAACTACCTTGGCTGTATTTGATTCAAGAAAGTAGTTTGGGGATATTTTGTTTCCTTTCGACACTTAATAGCCATATTTTGTTACTGTTAGTATTCTCGGTAACACTTAACATGAAACTGTTTTTGTGCCTGTGTAACAAAACAAATTACTTTTGGAGAAACATTTGATTAGCATGTTGTTACATAATACTTTGGTCAATGCATTTTAATTGCATAGCAATGAGCTGAGAGGTTTTGTAACTACTGTACACATGAGGAAGTGGGACAGTTCCTTATTCCACGTATGTAATAACGCCAATATAATGCAATTATAAAGCAATTTCCAAAGTCCTATGTAACAACTGTTGCGATTGTACAATTCTAATTGTATAAGAACTTGATGTCAAGTATTACTGTATAACATGTCTCACTCATTATGAAAATACAGTGGGGAAAAAAAGTATTTAGTCAGCCACCAATTGTGCAAGTTCTCCCACTTAAAAAGATGAGAGATGCCTGTAATTTTCATCATAGGTACATGTCAACTATGACAGACAAATTGAGGAAAAAAAATCCAGAAAATCACATTGTAGGATTTTTAATGAATTTATTTGCAAATTATGGTGGAAAATAAGTATTTGGTCACCTACAAACAAGCAAGATTTCTGGCTCTCACAGACCTGTAACTTCTTCTTTAAGAGGCTCCTCTGTCCTCCACTCGTTACTTGTATTAATGGCACCTGTTTGAACTTGTTATCAGTATAAAATACACCTGTCCACAACCTCAAACAGTCACACTCCAAACTCCACTATGGCCAAGACCAAAGAGCTGTCAAAGGACACCAGAAACAAAATTGTAGACCTGCACCAGGCTGGGAAGACTGAATCTGCAATAGGTAAGCAGCTTGGTTTGAAGAAATCAACTGTGGGAGCAATTATTAGGAAATGGAAGACATACAAGACCACTGATAATCTCCCTCGATCTGGGGCTCCACGCAAGATCTCACCCCGTGGGGTCAAAATGATCATAAGAACGGTGAGCAAAAATCCCAGAACGACACGGGGGGACCTAGTGAATGACCTGCAGAGAGCTGGGACCAAAGTAACAAAGCCTACCATCAGTAACACACTACGCCGCCAGGGACTCAAATCCTGCAGTGACAGACGTGTCCCCCTGCTTAAGCCAGTACATGTCCAGGCCCGTCTGAAGTTTGCTAGAGTGCATTTGGATGATCCAGAAGAGGATTGGGAGAATGTCATATGGTCAGATGAAACTTTTTGGTAAAAACTCAACTCGTCGTGTTTGGAGGACAAAGAATGCTGAGTTGCATCCAAAGAACACCATACCTACTGTGAAGCATGGGGGTGGAAACATCATGCTTTGGGGCTGTTTTTCTGCAAAGGGACCAGGACGACTGATCCGTGTAAAGGAAAGAATGAATGGGGCCATGTATCGTGAGATTTTGAGTGAAAACCTCCTTCCATCAGCAAGGGCATTGAAGATGAAACGTGGCTGGGTCTTTCAGCATGACAATGATCCCAAACACACCGCCCGGGCAACGAAGGAGTGGCTTCGTAAGAAGCATTTCAAGGTCCTGGAGTGGCCTAGCCAGTCTCCAGATCTCAACCCCATAGAAAATCTTTGGAGGGAGTTGAAAGTCCGTGTTGCCCAGCGACAGCCCCAAAACATCACTGCTCTAGAGGAGATCTGCATGGAGGAATGGGCCAAAATACCAGCAACAGTGTGTGAAAACCTTGTGAAGACTTACAGAAAACGTTTGACCTGTGTCATTGCCAACAAAGGGTATATAACAAAGTATTGAGAAACTTTTGTTATTGACTAAATACTTATTTTCCACCATAATTTGCAAATAAATTCATAAAAAATCCTACAATGTGATTTTCTGGATTTTTTTCCCTCATTTTGTCTGTCATAGTTGACGTGTACCTATGATGAAAATTACAGGCCTCTCTCATCTTTTTAAGTGGGAGAACTTGCACAATTGGTGGCTGACTAAATACTTTTTTTCCCCACTGTATATGTGTTAGTCATTTTGAAGCTGCAAAAGTGGTCTACTCTAATGTTCAGGTGATTTCATGTCCTTCATGTATTTAATTCTAGGCTATAGGTTATATTAATATCTATGAGCCCTCCAAACCATGTGCTTATGGTCATATATTTACACCAATTCAAAGTAACTGTTGTAGTTTTTGGTTCATAAAATATTTGGCAGCCATCAAATAAATGTTTTTTTGTTTTCAAATAAATTGCATATATTCAAATACCTTCAAATGTTAATTGGTTTTCTGAGAGTTATTCAAAACACTTTCAAATACATTTTAAAAAAAATTGTTTGACCTGTATTTGAATATCAAAGAAAAGAGTTGCCTTTTAGTTGAAACTCTATATAAACTATATTCGACTACCTTGAGTATTTGCCCAGGTCTGGTACCCTCTAACCCACCCTATGTAAGAATGTCATAATAATGTGATAACATTATAAACCATAATGGCAGCTCCTTATGTCTGCCTATGGCAACTCACTTGACACAGTCATGACACAAACCGTTACTCAAGTATGCGTATTTGCTGGCCTAAACAACGGTTTCTGTTATGATAGTGGTAAATCAGTTGTCATAACGGTTTATTATATGTTATATTATCATGATGTAGGACTTTTGACAGAGGGTTCAGGTAAAGTCTTTTCATACTTGTCTAGCAGAGCTCTGTATTTGTGATGTGCAGTTTGCGAATGAGTCGTTTTTTTTGAACGACTCTTTTTACTGACTCGTTTTTCTGAGTGACCCGTTCATTTTAGTGCTTAGTTTGACCTGCTGGCCGCAATGAATTCTACAGCAGGATTAATACGCGCTCCTCTGGTGACTCTCGAGATGTGCTCCGACCAACAAATGTCTGTCATATATGCGCGCAGGCAAACTAGATCATGCTGCAGGCAGCATAGAGAATAAAAATACGTGTAGAACTGATTATGATCGCATGGTGCAAGAATGAATAAAACTGATTGATTATAGAATGCTATGATGGACAGTTTTGTAGAACCAAAACATACACAGCCTCTTCTCAACAAACTCGAGCGAATTGTCTGGGGTGATGCAGTTTGCGAACGATATTGTGCTAATCACCCTAATGGCAGTCAAGCAATGCATTCCGCCAAGAGTCGTTTACAATGTAGTCCGGTTGCTGCCCACAACTAGACCTCGTTTCAAATGTACCATGAAACATAGCCGTGGAAATTAGGGGTGCTGAAAACATCTCAGGTCCCCCACCCGGCGAAAATAATCGCAGAACGCCCACCCCCAAACTACCTCCCGCGGCTATGCCAAAGAAATTGTTATTCGTATGCATAGAAATCAACAAATGTACATAGTTTAAAACACGCTTTTACAAGTCTCATTCACAAATGACAACTCCAATAAGCCCCTTACGGTGAACGATGTGAACGAGAGGCTTGTAAGATCATGACTATTTCGAGTTTTTAGTTCATCGTTTGCAGACAGGGGATCCTGCGTGCTCTGGGCATTACTGACTCAAATGAATGAAATGAGTCGAAAGATTTGTTATTTTGACTGAACGAGTCGAAAAGATCAGAGTCAGTAAAAAGAGCTGAACTTCCCATCACTACTCTGTTTGCATGGCACTATGTCACAGCTCTATGTGAGCCAGTAGAGGGGGCTAAAGAGTAGGTTTAGTAAGCTGAACAGCCACACAGCCAAAAAAATTGTAAGAGTGTAATTATTACACGTGACCTGAGATTATACAATTATAAATTTGACACCAAAACAAATAACAGAATATCAACTGGTAGGTCAAAGTCAAATCAATCACATTAAAGAAATACATACTGCTCAGTAAAAACAAAAACCTAAAAGGACCGGTAGAATTACATGATTTTCTTTCAAGGTTTAGAATGGGTTTGAAAAAGATCACTGCCTTTAATACATATTTTTATAAATATCCTCTTGTGAGAATAAGTGGTGTTACAATGTAGTAGTGAGCATCACAAATTCAAATATTACCCAACAGAAGATGAGGAGAACTAATCCAAAACCATTGAATGACAGATGTAGTACCAGTCCTTGAGCTGGCTGGTGTATGTTGTGAAGTTCCTGTCAGTCTGTATGCTGTAACCGTCCCAGTTACAGGTGGAGGTGTAGGGTATACATCCAAACCCAACACTTCCCTCTTTTTTTTTTTACCTCCCACTCCGGCCACTGTCACACACTCGTTATGGAGGTCAAACAGTTTGAGGGTTTCTGCAGTTTCTCGGGTTGGGCGGTGGGCGGCTCTGGAATGGTCCGGAAGGTGAAAGGTGGACCATTGCCCGTGGCGATTCCCAGGTGTCCGGGACTCAGAGCCAGATTCTGACGTCTGTTGCTCTCCACAATGCTGGAGGTGTTTGAGGCCAGGCTCTCTCGTGTGCTGACCCAAGGAAGAAAGAAGACGAGAGGAAGGGAGAGAAAAAAATAATGGTGAAGAGAATGAAGAGAAAGAGGGAGAGAGGTCCACACACAGAGGATACAGAAAAATGTTACGCTGCCTGGGCTTCCCTTGTTTGTGTGGAATTGTGTGAGAGCAGAAAGTATCGGATTGATTGTTGACACATTGTCTATAATATTTTCCAGCTATTGGCAGCACTTATTGAGGTTAGGTCGTTCCCTTCTAGTAAAACAAAACTTGATATCCTCTCCATATTAACCACTAACTGCTGTAACTAATGCCCAGAGAGGAAGTAACAAAAGATGAGAAGAAAAGATGGGTAAAGCGAGAAGAGAGAATGAGAGAAGGGTCATTTGTGAGTAAGTCTCTGGCAGATATAGACAAGTGTGGTCCTCATTCATGGTTTCTCTGATATTCTCTACAATGGGATTGTTTTAAACATTATATGACTGATAATATGTAAGGTATTAGCCTAATATCTGTATGACAAGACACTTCTTTGGAATGGTGTCATTAGTGGTTTACAGAGTAACAGCATGTCAAAAAGTCTGATCACGCCAGTTTCTTGTTATATTTGTGTACTTGTTTGATATTTTACTGCATTGTTAGGAGTAACTAACATAAGCATTTCGCTGCACCCGCTGTAACATCTGTTAAACTGTGTACATGACCAATAAACTTTTATTTGTTTCTATCTTTTCACTTCCAGCTAGACCAGGTGACCCATGAAAGGTGGATGTGCTTCTGGTCACTGCCTCCATCTGCAGGCCAGGGCTATGGAAGAGAGGGGTGGAGCTGAGCTGAGCTGCCTGGGGGAAGGGAGGGGGCCAAATGACCAAGTACACATCTGTGGACAGATGCCCTTTACAACAGCAGTCACAGAGGAGATGAGTGAAATCTGCCCTGATGGCTCATACAGTGGGGGAAAAAAGTATTTAGTCAGCCACCAATTGTGCAAGTTCTCCCACTTAAAAAGATGAGAGAGGCCTGTAATTTTCATCATAGGTACACGTCAACTATGACAGACAAATTGAGAAAGAAAAATCCAGAAAATCACATTGTAGGATTTTATATGAATTTATTTGCAAATGATGGTGGAAAATAAGTATTTGGTCACCTACAAACAAGCAAGATTTCTGGCTCTCACAGACCTGTAACTTCTTCTTTAAGAGGCTCCTCTGTCCTCCACTCGTTACCTGTATTAATGGCACCTGTTTGAACTTGTTATCAGTATAAAAGACACCTGTCCACAACCTCAAACAGTCACACTCCAAACTCCACTATGGCCAAGACCAAAGAGCTGTCAAAGGACACCAGAAACAAAATTGTAGACCTGCACCAGGCTGGGAAGACTGAATCTGCAATAGGTAAGCAGCTTGGTTTGAAGAAATCAACTGTGGGAGCAATTATTAGGAAATGGAAGACATACAAGACCACTGATAATCTCCCTCGATCTGGGGCTCCACGCAAGATCTCACCCCATGGGGTCAAAATGATCACAAGAACGGTGAGCATAAATCCCAGATCCACACGGGGGGACCTAGTGAATGACCTGCAGAGAGCTGGGACCAAAGTAACAAAGCCTACCATCAGTAACACACTACGCCGCCAGGGACTCAAATCCTGCAGTGCCAGACGTGTCCCCCTGCTTAAGCCAGTACATGTCCAGGCCCGTCTGAAGTTTGCTAGAGTGCATTTGGATGATCCAGAAGAGGATTGGGAGAATGTCATATGGTCAGATGAAACCAAAATATAACTTTTTGGTAAAAACTCAACTCGTCGTGTTTGGAGGACAAAGAATGCTGAGTTGCATCCAAAGAACACCATACCTACTGTGAAGCATGGGGGTGAAAACATCATGCTTTGGGGCCGTTTTTCTGCAAAGGGACCAGGACGACTGATCCGTGGTAAAGGAAAGAATGAATGGGGCCATGTATCGTGAGATTTTGAGTGAAAACCTCCTTCCATCAGCAAGGGCATTGAAGATGAAACGTGGCTGGGTCTTTCAGAATGACAATGATCCCAAACACACCGCCCGGCAACGAAGGAGTGGCTTCGTAAGAAGCATTTCAAGGTCCTGGAGTGGCCTAGCCAGTCTCCAGATCTCAACCCCATAGAAAATATTTGGAGGGAGTTGAAATTCCGTGTTGCCCAGCGACAGCCCCAAAACATCACTGCTCTAAAGAAGATCTGCATGGAGGAATGGGCCAAAATACCAGCAACAGTGTGTGAAAACCTTGTGAAGACTTACAGAAAACGTTTGACCTGTGTCATTGCCAACAAAGGGTATATAACAAAGTATTGAGAAACTTTTGTTATTGACATTTTTGTCACAGGAAAGGAAAATGACATGGTCATGAGAGGCTGTGAAATAGGCAAAATACCCTACAAGAAAGGACCACCACTCCAACTCCAACGTGGAAGGGGCTGAGGGAAGGGGGGGCACTCAGCCAGAAAACAAATGAGTCGATCGTCCCAGAGGTCCTGAACTGCAAACCAATCAAAGACGACCGGCACTAGCGCGGGCATCCATCTTGTTTAGAGGCTGGAACATGTGGTCGGGGTTAGACACAGGAAGACACGTGACCCTAATGAAGTGTCACACACTCCCACTATGCCAGAGGGGCCCGGGCGAAAAGGATTTGGTAAAATCAGGCACAGTGTTGTAATGCACAAAATATTTTGGGGGTTGCTATCTGTGTAATGTAAAACCAAAGTTTAATAGGCAGTCTTTTAAAACAACTGGAATACAATTCTACACACAATTTGAAAGTACATTTAAAAAAACTGTGCTTAGTTCTTCGCGATATATTAGCTGTTACGGTTCTGACCTGACAGATGAACTCCATACACACTATGACAGAGACAGGCCTACTCCCCCTTTCTCCCTCTTTTAGCACTGATAAATATCAAAATCCTCCATGTTGCTTTTGGGACCAAAAAAGGTAATATTTTGTCGGTTGATGGTAAAGCCATGTGAATGGTTGTCTTAATGGACATATTTCAGTAACAGACACCATGTATCATGAGCTAAAAACTCCAAAAAAACACAGATGTCTGCTTACGCTCAAGTGATTCAAGAGACTAAGAAAAATATCTGAGTTCAAATGAACGTGAATCATTGAGTGAAGCAGAGACATCAGAAAGAAACAAAAAGTAACAAAGAAAGCAAACCAAATCCATTCAGAGCAAAAATGAGGTTTTGTAAACAGACAAGCATAGGCTCACATGAATGAGGCAATTATGAAATTAGGAAACATTGGAACCTCCTATTCTGTCTCTTCTACAGGGCTATAACCCATGATAGGTTGTACCTCAGATTCACTAGAATCAATAGCACCATATTTTATAATAGTACCGGTCCATTTGGTTCTCATGTGAGAACAATAATCCCACCATTAGTCTATTCACAGAATAAGAAGCCATCCCCTCTCATTACCACCGCCGACACAAACAGAGACGCTGTGTGTGTCTATGTGAGTGAGTGTGTTGTTTTTACCCGACCAAGGCTTACCGTGGAGAGTTAAATCCACTGTCCACTGTAACACTGTTGCTGTCCATGCTGTCCAGCCTGGCCGAGTGGGCCGACTGCTGGCTCTGGTTGTTGTGGTCGCTCTCCTTGGGGTTGGGGAAGGTCAGGTTCCTTTCAAACCTGCGCTGGAGGTCCCTCTCCTTCTCCCTCTCCAGCAGCCACTGCATGGTGCCCCCTCCTCCCCCACCACAACCCTCTGGGGCCTTCTGCTTCTGCTCTGCCCGCTTGGCCGAGGCAGCGTCCTCCAGCTCGTCGTCAGACACATTGTAGTAGTCGAAGGCGGCCTCCCCGGCCTGGCACGAGCCAGCCTGCTCCATCCCCGAGGGTCCAGAGGAGGGGGGCCGGGGCACAGCTAGCAGGGGGCCAGGCTGCTCAAAGTGCTCCTGGCTGTCCAGCACCTCGGCTGACAACATGACCTGGGTCTTCCTCAGCGTGCTTGACCTGGAGTAGCTGCCGTCCCCATAGGCTCCTGTCAGCGCGTTGGGCGGCGGTTTAAACAGAGTGTCTTTGCTGAAGATCTCCTTCCTCTTGTCCATGCTACCGGAGTTGGTGTTGTGGTGCTGTACCGAACGTCCATTTGGCAAAGGCTCAGGCATCTGGCAGGGCATGGGTAAACTAACGCCGTTATGTCCCTTTGTAGTTTCCTCTTTGTACTCTGGGGGTTGAGGGGTCTGTCTGTCGGACATACAGCCCACCTTCACCTTAAGTAAGCTATCGTGATTGTGTTTTCCTAAGGGGCTGGGAGCAGTGAAAACCACTTCGTTGGATGCATTGCACTGGAAATAGTCCTCAGCCATGGGTTTGGGAGAGTAAGCCTTCAAGCTGTCGTAGGCAGGTAAAATGTCTCTACTTTTGTTCTTTTCAAGTGTCATCCCGCCGTCGGGCCCACACACATCAGAGGTTAACTTAGCAGCAGGGGGCATGGCCCGCGAGTGGGAGTAGTGGGAGGCCTGGGTTGAGGCCCTCAAGGTCCCGTCGTCTGTGTAGTAGCGGCTCCTCTCTCTGTCCCTCTCATCAGGGCTGCGCTCAAAGTAGTCCGGGGGCCCAATCAGCCCGACCCCCAGGGGCCCTTTGGAGTTATCCATGGAGCGGGACCTCTCTTTGGCCTTGTTGTCTGAGCGCTCGTTGCGTGACTTCCTCTCCTGTGTGTGGCTGTGGCTGCGGTGCACCTTGGAGTGGGACGGCCCGTGCGAAGGCTCGGGGAAGGGCATCTCCGTCCTTCTCTTGGCCAGCTCTCCCGACACGTCCCACTCCGGGGTGACGGGCAGGTGGGAATCCATGATGTTGGGGTTGCTGTGGGCCAGGTGGCGGGCACGGCTGCATTCCCTGGAGGCGGCGGCGTCCCGCGGCGAGTGCGCCAGGGAGGAGCTGTAGGCCCAGTAGTCCCTCTCAGCCGCCAGGTCCATGTTGGATCCCTCAGAGGGGTCTCCCCGGGAGGCGCGGGTCTTACTGTGGGAGCGTGAGGGCTTACCCTGGGGCTTGCGGTGTCCGCGGCTCCTCCTGCTGCGTGCGCTGTGTTGGGCAGACGAGCTGGCCTTGCTCCTCTGGGCCCTCTCCTCCTCCAACCTCTTCATCACGGCTGTGTGCCTCGCCACGTTCTCCACCGTCAGGTCCGGGTTGATCCGTCTGATGATCTCCATCTCCACATCGCGTGGCACGGCCGTGGGCGTCTCCTCGTCCCGCAGAGGCCACTCTTCCGGGGGGAACTGGGCCGAGAAGGTGGTCAGTTGCTTGGTCTTGTCCTTCTTGAAGCTCAGCCTGAACAGCTTAAGGCCAAACTTCTTGGACTGCTTCTCCCCGCTGCTGCCACCCTCGCGGTGCTTGGTCAGTGTGTCCGACTTGAAGGGGAAGCTGAGGGTGCTCCGGGTCTTCTCCGTGGTGTGCTGGGGCTGTGTGGGGGTGTGAGGGGAGTGGGGTGAGTGAGGCGAGTGGGGCGAGTGGGGCGAGTGGGGCGAGTAGGCCTCTCGGTGCTCCTTGGTGGACTTCCTGGTGAGGGTGGTGTGGTGGCTGGGGGGGTCATCACGGTAACTATTATAAGAGTCTCCATGGTTCTTAGGATAGGACCTGTCCCTGACACAGCCAGAGGTAGAGGGGGTGATGGTTCCAGAGAGGGGGGAGGTACACGGCTGCTGTTGTTGTTGTTGTTGTTGCTGCTGCTGCTGGCGTTCCGGTATCCTCTCGTCCAGGTGGTACCACTTGGAGCTGGTCCTGATGAGAGAGGGCGTGATGAAGTAGGTCTGGGGCGTGACGATGAAGTAGCCCTCCGGCGTATGGGAAATCTTCCTCTCCCGGACCAGCATGCTCAGTGTGTGGTGGAGGATCTCCGCCGTTGGCGTGGGCACACCTAGACAACGACACGGAGAGGAACATGTCATATATGTCAAACATAACATTCTGGATGCGTCTCAAATGGCACGCTATTCCCTTTATAGTGCACTCCAATAGGGTGCCATTTGGTACGCACCCTATATCACGTGATAACGTATTAATTTGTGATATTATCATATAATAGCATTGAATGCTCATTATTCAGCAATGGATGCGCTATTATTTGTAATAACCAATCGATCGTGAAAACTGTAATTCGCCCAATACATCAACCACATAGTCGACCTGGATCTATCAGATAGTAATCTGACAGAACAGATTGTTATATGTATAGAATAAATGTCTTCACTGTCTGATCATCCCTTTGGGGAGCCAGTCAGCCGGGGCCCTTGATGCAGGGAGAGACGTATTGCGTCCCAAATGACACCCTATTCCCTATATAGTGCACTACTTTTGACCAGGGCCCATAGGTCAAAAGTAGTGCACTATATAGGGAATAGGGATCCATTTCAGACACACCCAGAGAGAGACAGGGCGATCAATGCTGCAGCAGTAGCTGCTCCCCATCCACTCCTCCATGCCACTCACAGCACAGCACGGCGCTGAACTGCTTCACTTCACTGGAGGTAGTATTACTCACAGTTACATCATGGTGCCCTTTCAGCCCGTCCAGCGTGATGCAATCCCACCAGCCAGCCACATATGTAGACTGAGGCTGCAGCAAAATACAGGCAGGCGAGGAAGCTAGCGGTCACACCCATCTCAGACTCACGCAGCACCCAGCCCCTCCACGACTACACACAGACACACGCACACGCACCGGACAGAATAGCTTCACTACAATGCTTGGCATGTGATAGGGAGAGGCAGCTATTGTGTCTACAATACAGGTACAATACAGGTCTACTGTCGTGGAGCAATAGAGAGGGATTATTTAAAATCCCTAAAATGAACTGACTAAATATGCCCCCTGCTGACTGAAAGGAATGTTAACAGTCTAAAATAGGATAATACATACTAGATTCAGCTTAGGAAATGAGTAATGGGACTAAAAATGTATGCACTCACTAACTGTAAGTCGCTCTGGATAAGAGCGTCTACTAAATGACTAAAATGTAAATGTAAAGGCAAACGTAGTGTAAATTGAGTTGACAGGTTATGGTAGTGTGTACGCATTTGGCAATAGTGGTTGACTGGTCGTCCCTCTTATTCCAGACAAAAATAGTCAACACACAAACGCATTAATTAAGATCTATTGGTAAACTGGCAGGCAGGCAGTTACCCGCCTGCACATACGTCTGTACGATAGATAAGCCTTGACTAGTTGGGGTTGCCTGCCATTACATCATATGGGTTTAGTTGCCCGACCAAAGTGACGCAACTTCCTCTTGTTCCTTCTTGTGACTCAAGTGTCTACAGAGGGGTAGTAGTCTAGGAAATGCATCCCAAATGGCAACCTATTCCCTATTTAAAAGTGGTGCATTATAAATAGAATAAGGTGCAGTTTGGGACCCAGCCCATTTGCCATTATGAAGCAGGACTTACGCTCACCTACATAAACTATCATCCAGTTCAACTCCTCTTTATACCTCTGTATCCAGGATTACAGCACAGAGTTACACACACACACACACACAAACACACACACACCTGAGCTGACGGTCCAAACTTATTCATTAGCCGGGTTGGAGGGAAGGGGCCATATGATGGAGATGATTTGATTGGTATGGTGAGGTAAAGGGGGGTGACACATAACTGAGGGGCTTTGATGTTGAAACAGCGAGAAAGAAAGAGGACAGAAAGAGAGAGAGGACAGAGAGAGGACAGAAAGAGAGAGAGGACAGAAAGAGAGAGAGAGAGACTGAGTTAACAGCTAACTGGATCAGCTCCTCCTCATCCTAATCCTTCCAGCGCTGGCTCTGAACTTCCAGAGTGGAGAGAGAGGGGCTGTGTCTGAGGGGGGATTGGGGAGGGGGCCTGATTGGATGGTCAGGGAGAAGGCAGATGGGGCTAGGGGCTTATTCAACACGGGGCTCAATATTCTGAACGTTGCAGAATGTAATTTCTATAATAAACAGACTATGGAACACAAAAGGGTTGTACCTGGAACCAAAAAGGGTTATTCAAATGGTTATCCTATGGGGACAGCCGAAGAACCCTTTTAGGTTCTAGATAGATAACTATTTTCCTAAGAGTGTACACAAAATGCCGCCATGACCTGTTTGTTGTTCCAGTGTAAAGCCAGCGTGGATCATGTTTAGGTCTATCAGTATACAGTGGGGGAAAAAAGTATTTAGTCAGCCACCAATTGTGCAAGTTCTCCCACTTAAAAAGATGAGAGAGGCCTGTAATTTTCATCATAGGTACACGTCAACTATGACAGACAAATTGAGAAAAGAAAATCCAGAAAATCACATTGTAGGATTTTTAATGAATTTATTTGCAAATTATGGTGGAAAATAAGTATTTGGTCAATAACAAAAGTTTCTCAATACTTTGTTATATACCCTTTGTTGGCAATGACACAGGTCAAACGTTTTCTGTAAGTCTTCACAAGGTTTTCACACACTGTTGCTGGTATTTTGGCCCATTCCTCCATGCAGATCTCCTCTAGAGCAGTGATGTTTTGGGGCTGTCGCTGGGCAACACGGACTTTCAACTCCCTCCAAAGATTTTCTATGGGGTTGAGATATGGAGACTGGCTAGGCCACTCCAGGACCTTGAAATGCTTCTTACGAAGCCACTCCTTTGTTGCCCGGGCGGTGTGTTTGGGATCATTGTCATGCTGAAAGACCCAGCCACGTTTCATCTGGACATGTACTGGCTTAAGCAGGGGGACACGTCTGGCACTGCAGGATTTGAGTCCCTGGCGGAGCAGTGTGTTACTGATGGTAGGCTTTGTTACTTTGGTCCCAGCTCTCTGCAGGTCATTCACTAGGTCCCCCCGTGTGGTTCTGGGATTTCTGCTCACCGTTCTTGTGATCATTTTGACCCCACGGGGTGAGATCTTGCGTGGAGCCCCAGATCGAGGGAGATTATCAGTGGTCTTGTATGTCTTCCATTTCCTAATAATTGCTCCCACAGTTGATTTCTTCAAACGAAGCTGCTTACCTATTGCAGATTCAGTCTTCCCAGCCTGGTGCAGGTCTACAATTTTGTTTCTGGTGTCCTTTGACAGCTCTTTGGTCTTGGCCATAGTGGAGTTTGGAGTGTGACTGTTTGAGGTTGTGGACAGGTGTCTTTTATACTGATAACAAGTTCAAACAGGTGCCATTAATACAGGTAACGAGTGGAGGACAGAGGAGCCTCTTAAAGAAGAAGTTACAGGTCTGTGAGAGCCAGAAATCTTGCTTGTTTGTAGGTGACCAAATACTTATTTTCCACCATAATTTGCAAATAAATTCATTAAAAATCCTACAATGTGATTTTCTGGATTTTTTTTCCTCAATTTGTCTGTCATAGTTGACGTGTACCTATGATGAAAATTGCAGGCCTCTCTCATCTTTTTAAGTGGGAGAACTTGCACAATTGGTGGCTGACTAAATACTTTTTTTCCCCCACTGTATGTGGATATAAAGAGCATATAAGGAGACTAGGGGAGCATCCCACTTAAAGGGTAGCCTAAGCTTCAGTGCTACACATCCACTGTCTGCAATTCATATCTGCAGCCTTGTGCAATTAGATTACCTCAGCATGTGTCAAATGCTTTATTTTGTAGTTATACACAGAGAGAAAGAGAGGGAACTGGTTGGCCAGGCAGTGAATAGACACAGTCCTATCCCAAGTAATGCCCATCTGTAACAACCTTCCCCACTCTCCTATTGTCCCAGAAAAGCTGACCTTTCCGTAACATCATATGGAGCAGACTGAACGTGCATCCCAAATGGTAACCTATTCCCTATTTAGTGTCCAACTTTTGACCAGAAGTCAAGTTGGTACCGCTGATGTGCCAACTTCTGTCTCTCACGAACACGTACATGTTGGTTGTTCTGCTATACAACGCCCACAAGCCTCGTCTGAAGGTAACCCGGTAATAGTTAAAAAAATACGGACGTATAGACTCAGTGGCCAATTTATTAGGTACACCCATCTAGTACCGGGTCGGACCCCCCTTTGCTTCCATAACAGCCTGAATTCCTCTGGGCATGGAAACGTTGCTCAATTGGTATCAAGGGACCTAACGTGTGCCAGGAAAACATTCCCCACACCATTACACCACCAGCCTGTACAGTTGATTACAGGCAGGATGGGGCCATGGACGCTGCTTAATCCAAACCCTGACTCTGCCATCAACATAACACAACAGGAACCGGGATTCGTCGGACCAGGGGATGTTTTTCCACTCATCAATTGTCCAGTGTTGGTGATCACTTGCCCACTGGAGCCGCTTCTTCCTGTTTTGATCTGATAGGAGTGGAACCCGGTGTGGTCGTCTGCTGCAATAGTCTATCAGTGGCAAGGACCGACAAGGTGTGCGTTCCAAGATGCCGTTCTGCACATCACTGTTTTACTGCGCCATTATTTGCCTGTTTGTGGCCCGACTGTTAGCTTGCATGATAATTGCAATTCTCCTTCAACAAGCTGTTTTCGCCCACAGGACTGCCGCTGACTGGTTGTTTTTTTATTTGTCGCACCATTCTCGGTAAACCCTAGACACTGTTGTGCGTGAAGGCCGGCAGTTTCTGAGATAATGGAACTGGCGCGCATTTAAAAATATATATATTTAAGTAGACTTAGAACACATTCTCATTTACAGCAATGACCTGGGGAATAGTTACAGGGGAGAGGAAAGGGGATGAATGAGCCAAGTGGAAGCTGGGGATGATTAGGTGGCCATGTTGGTATGAGGGCCAGATTGGGAATTTAGCCAGGACACCGGGGTGAACACCCCTATTCTTATGATAAGTGCCATGGGATCTTTAGTGACCACAGAGAGTCATACCACCCTCAAAGTCGCTTAGGTCACTTGTGTTGCCCATTCTAACGTTCAATCGAACAGTAAATGAAGGTCTCGACGCCTGTCTGCCTGTTTTATATAGCAAGCCACGGCCACGTGACTCACTGTCTGTAGTAGTGAACCATTTGTGAACAGGGTGGTGTACCTAATAAACTGGCCACTGAGTGTATATGGAAGGGGTTAAATATGGGTAAAAAAAACTATTTCCAGAGCTTTCTTATATCTCCCAGATATAGGAGACACTTCAAAACATATCATTTTATTAATTTTTTGACTATCTGTTTTGTCATGTACGAATGCTATTAAATGTGTTTCTATGGGCGAATAGCAGTCAGGCTAAATTCAATGTTTCATTTTGTAAATATTTGTTTTTATACCTACAGGGGTCCCTCTTAAACTTGATTTATATATTTTAGATGATTTTCTATATATACAGTACCAGTCCAAAGTTTGGACACACCTACTCATTCAAGGGTTTTTCTTTATCTTTACTATGTTCTACATTGTAGAATAATAGTGAAGACACAAAAACTATGAAATAACACATGGAATCATGTAGTAACCCAAAAAAGTGTTAAACAAATCAAAATAGATTTTAGATTTTAGATTCTTCAGAGTAGCCACCTTTTGCCTGGATGACAGCATTGCACACTCTTGGTTCTCTCTTTCTCTTGAAGGAGTTCCCACATATGCTGAGCACTTGTTGGCTGCTTTTCCTTCACTCTGCAGTCCAACTCATCCCAAACCATATCAATTGGGTTGAGGTCGGGTGATTGTGGAGGCCAGGTCATCTGATGCAGCACTCCATCACTCTCCTTCTTGGTCAAATCGCCCTTATACAGCCTGGAGGTGTGTTGGGTCATTGTCCCGTTGAAAACCAAATGATAGTCCCACTAAGCGCAAACCAGATGGGATGGCGTATCGCTGCAGAATGCTGTGGTAGCCATGCTGGTTAAGTGTGCCTTGAATTCAAAATAAATCACAGAAAGTGTCACCAGCAAAGCACCCCCACACCATCACATCTCCTCCTCCGTGGATCACGGTGGGAACCACACATGCGGAGATCAAATCAAATTGTATTTGTCACATGCGCCGAATGAAATGCTTACTTACAAGCCCTTAACCAACAATGCAGTTAAGAAAAATAAGTGTTAAGTAAAAAATAGATAAAGTAAAAAAAATCAAAAAGATATCACAAATAACTTTTAAAGAGCAGCAGTAAAATAACAGTAGCAAGGCGATATACCGGTACCGGAACAGTGTCAATGTGCGGGGGCACAGGTTAGTCGAGGTAATTGAGGTAATATGTACAGTACTAGTCAAAAGTTTGGACACCTACTCATTCATTCCCATCACGGTGGGAACCACATATGCAGAGATCATCCGTTCACCTACTCTGCGTCTCACAAAGACACGGCGGTTGGAACCAAAAATCTCAAATTTGGACTGGTCTAATGTCCATTGCTCGTGTTTCTTGGCCCAAGCAAGTCTCTTCTTCTTATTGGTCAACTTTAGTAGTGGTTTATTTGCAGCAATTCGACCATGAAGGCCTGATTCACACAGTCTCCTCTGAACAGTTGATGTTGAGATGTGTCCGTTACTTGAACTCTGAAGCATTTATTCGGGCTGCAATTTCTGAGGCTGGTATCTCTAATGAACTTATCCTCTGCAGCAGAGGTAACTCTGGGTCTTCCTTACCTGTGGCGGTCCTCATGAGAGCCAGTTTCATCATAGTGCTTGATGGTTTTTGCAATTGCACTTGAAGAAACGTTCAAAGTTCTTGACATTTTCCAGATTGACTGACCTTCATGTCTTAAAGTAATGAAGGATTGTCATTTCTCTTTGATTATTTGAGCTGTTCTTGCCATAATATGGACTTGGTATTTTGCCAAATAGGGTAATCTTCTGTATACCACCCCTACCTTGTCACAACACAACTGATTGGCTCAAACGCATTAAGAAGGTAATAAATTCCACAAATGAACTTTTAACAAGGCACACCTGTTAATTGAAATGCATTCCAGGTGACTACCTCATGAAGCTGGTTGAGAGAATGCCAAGAGTGTGGAAAGCTGTCATCAAGGCAAAGGGTGGCTACATTGAAGAATCTCAAATATATTTTGATTTGTTTAACACTTTTTTGGTTACTACATGATTCCATGTGGAATTTCATCGTTTTTATGTCTTCACTATTATTCTACAACGTAGAAAATAGTAAAAATAAAGAACAACCCCGGAATGAGTAGGTGTGTCCAAACCTTTGACTGGTGCTGTACATATAGGTAGCGGCAGGTAGCTTAGTGGTTAAGAGCGTTATGCCAGTAACCGAAAGGTTGCTGGTTCTAATCCCAGAGCCAACTAGGTGAAAAATATGTCGACGTGCCCTTGAGCAAGGCACTTAACCCTAATTGCTCCTGTAAGTCGCTCTGGATAAGAGCGTCTGCTAAATGACTAAAATGTAAATGTAGAGTTAAAGTGCCTATGCATAGATAATAAACAGAGTAGCAGCAGCGTAAAACAGGGGGAGGGCAATGCAAATAGTATGGGTAGACATTTGATTAGCTGTTCAGGAGTCTTATGGCTTGGGGGTAGAAGCTGTTAAGAAGCCTTTTGGAGCTCCGGCACCGCTTGCCGTGCAGTAGCAGAGAGAACAGTCTATGACTAGGGTGGCTGGAGTCTTTGACAATTTCTAGGGCCTTCCTCTGACACCGCCTGGTATAGAGGTCCTGGATGGCAGGAAGCTTGGCCCCAGTGATGTACTGGGCCATAAGCACTACCCTCTGTAGAGCCTTGCGGTCGGAGGCCGAGCAGTTGCCATATCAGGCAGTGATGCATCCAGTCAGGATGATCTCGATGGTGCAGCTGTAGAGCTTTTTGAGCATCTGAAGACCCATGCCAAATCGTTTCAGTCTCCTGAGGGGGAATAGGCTTTGTCGTGCCCTCTTCACGACTGTCTTGCTGTGTTTGGACCATGATAGTTTGTTGGTGATGTGGACACCAAGGAACTTGAAGCGCTCAATCTGCTCCACTACAGCCCCGTCGATGAGAATGGGGGCGTGCTCGGTCCTCCTTTTCCTGTAGTCCACAATCATCTCCTTTGTCTTGATCACGTTGAGGGAGAGGTTGTTATTCTTGCACCACATGGCCAGGACTCTGACCTCCTCCCTATAGGCTGTCTCATCGTTGTCGGTGATCAGGCCTACCACTGTTGTGTCATCGGCAAACTTAATGATGGTGTTGGAGTCGTGCCTGGCCATGCAGTCATGGGTGAACAGGGACTACAGAAGGGGACTGAGCATGTACCCCTGAGGGGCCCCGTGTTGAGGATCAGCATGGAAGATGTGTTGTTACCTACCCTTACCACCTGGAGGCGGCCCGTCAGGAAGTCCAGGATCCAGTTGCAGAGGGAGGTGTTTAGTCCCAGGGTCCTTAGCTTAGTGATGAGCTTTGAGGGCACTATGGTGTTGAAAGCTGAGCTGTAGTCAACAAACAGCATTCTCACATAGGTGTTCCTTTTGTCCAGGTGGGAAAGGGCAGTTGAGTGACAACCTATGTAATTTGCTAGGTTATAATCTGATAGTGGGGTGGTAGATGCCTAGTCTCCCTTATGGCTCAGATCAGGTGTCTACATAATACATACACAATTTTACGCACACATACGGCTTGGGCTATATATCGTTTATACCACATAACGGGGTATTTCGAAATAACGACGAAGGTATGATTTTCAATACCTTCAATAAAAACAGAAATATCGCATCTACATAAGTAATACCACACAGTCTGTTCTAACAAAAACATTTTTTTTAAGCCTTTATTACAGCATAGCAAAGATTAAAAACAGACGAATTTGTAAAATTGCTTTATCCGACATTTTGCGGTTGCGTGAGGCTTGGTGCTCACGGAATCGGTAGGCTTATTAAACAAACATTCAAACTAGCAACAGAAGCAAGATCTGTCTTATTTCTGTAGATACAGTGGGGGAAAAAAGTATTTAGTCAGCAACCAATTATGCAAGTTCTCCCACTTAAAAAGATGAGAGAGGCCTGTAATTTTCATCATAGGTACACGTCAACTATGACAGAAAAATTGAGGAAAAAAAATCCAGAAAATCACATTGTAGGATTTTTTATGAATTTATTTGCAAATTATGGTGGAAAATAAGTATTTGGTCACCTACAAACAAGCAAGATTTCTGGCTCTCACAGACCTGTAACTTCTTCTTTAAGAGGCTCCTCTGTCCTCCACTCGTTACCTTTATTAATGGCACCTGTTTGAACTTGTTATCAGTATAAAAGACACCTGTCCACAACCTCAAACAGTCACACTCCAAACTCCACTATGGCCAAGACCAAAGAGCTGTCAAAGGACACCAGAAAGAAAATTGTAGACCTGCACCAGGCTGGGAAGACTGAATCTGCAATAGGTAAGCAGCTTGGTTTGAAGAAATCAACTGTGGGAGCAATTATTAGGAAATGGAAGACATACAAGACCACTGATAATCTCCCTCGATCTGGGGCTCCACGCAAGATCTCATCCCGTGGGGTCAAAATAATCACAAAAACGGTGAGCAAAAATCCCAGAACCACACGGGGGGACCTAGTGAATGACCTGCAGAGAGCTGGGACCAAAGTAACAAAGCCTACCATCAGTAACACACTACGCCGCCAGGGACTCAAATCCTGCAGTGCCAGACGTGTCCCCCTGCTTAAGCCAGTACATGTCCAGGCCCGTCTGAAGTTTGCTAGAGTACATTTGGATGATCCAGAAGAGGATTGGGAGAATGTCATATGGTCAGATGAAACCAAAATATAACTTTTTGGTAAAAACTCAACTCGTCGTGTTTGGAGGACAAAGAATGCTGAGTTGCATCCAAAGAACACCATACCTACTGTGAAGCATGGGGGTGAAAACATCATGCTTTGGGGCTGTTTTTCTGCAAAGGGACCAGGACGACTGATCCGTGGTAAAGGAAAGAATGAATGGGGCCATGTATCGTGAGATTTTGAGTGAAAACCTCCTTCCATCAGCAAGGGCATTGAAGATGAAACGTGGCTGGGTCTTTCAGCATGACAATGATCCCAAACACACCACCCGGGCAATGAAGGAGTGGCTTCGTAAGAAGCATTTCAAGGTCCTGGAGTGGCCTAGCCAGTCTCCAGATCTCAACCCCATAGAAAATCTTTGGAGGGAGTTGAAAGTCCGTGTTGCCCAGCGACAGCCCCAAAACATCACTGCTCTAGAGGAGATCTGCATGGAGGAATGGGCCAAAATACCAGCAACAGTGTGTGAAAACCTTGTGAAGACTTACAGAAAACGTTTGACCTGTGTCATTGCCAACAAAGGGTATATAACAAAGTATTGAGAAACTTTTGTTATTGACCAAATACTTATTTTCCACCATAATTTGCAAATAAATTCATAAAAAATCCTACAATGTGATTTTCTGGATTTTTTTTCCTCAATTTTTCTGTCATAGTTGACGTGTACCTATGATGAAAATTACAGGCCTCTCTCATCTTTTTAAGTGGGAGAACTTGCACAATTGGTGGCTGACTAAATACTTTTTTCCCCCACTGTATACTGTATATGGATGATTTATTTTGCACCATTATTCTTACATAATACAACCATTTACAATTTTAGTAGCACATGTCTTAGAGTAATGGACTGCGCCATCCCCGTGGCCTCCGCAATGGATTAGTCCACTGAGACAGGCGCATATCAGACAGGTGTTTTGTGCACCATAAAAATAATTATATTTGCGACTGCTCGACAAAATAAATCTTGGTCGACCAACAGCCTATTGACCAAACAATCGACCAGTCGATAAATGGGGTCAGCCCTAATCTAGATACGTATCGAATCGTCTTGAAAGGGAAAGATGCACATCCCTACTGTTACATATGGAAAATAAAGTTGTATTGTTGATGTTACCTGGGAAACATGTTGCCAGGTGTTCTGTCAGGGCCTCTTGGGTGACAGGCTTGCGGGCTGAGTTCATGGCTGAGATGGCCAGGCACAGCACCTCCCCCAGAGGGATGAACTGTGACTGGCTGATGGGCGACATGCTGATGGGAGATACATCACCTGAGAGAGGAGGGAAGAAAACACAAAGATTACAAAATTAATCACATTTTATAAAGCCCTTTCTGAATCAGTAGTCTCCACATAATGACTAAGCGAGAACAGGTTTTTTATGTACTATGTAATGTTTGCAAATGTACTAAAAATAAAAAACAGAAATACCTTATTTACATAAGTATTCAGACCCTTTGCTATGAGACTCGAAATTGAGCTCAGGTGCATCCTGTTTCCATTGATCATCCTTGAGATGTTTCTACAACTTGATTGGAGTCAACCTATGGTAAATACAATTGAATGGACATGATTTGGAAAGGCACACACCTGTCTATACAAGGTCCCACAGTTGACAGTGCATGTCAGAGCAAAAACCAAGCCATGAGGTCGAAGGAATTGTCCGTAGAGCGCAGAGACAGGATTGTAATTGAGGCACAGATCTGGGGAAGGGTACCAAACAATGTATGCAGCATTGAAGATCCCCAAGAACACAGTAGCCTCCATCATTCTTAAATGGAAGAAGTTTGGAACCCCCAATACTCTTCCTAGATCTGGTCGCCTGGCCAAACTGAGCAATCGGGGGAGAAGGGCCTTGGTCAGGGAGGTGACCAAGAACCCGATGGTCACTCTGACAGTGCTCTAGAGTTCCTCTGTGGAGATGGGAGAACCTTGCAGAAGGACAACCATCTCTGCAGCACTCCACCAATCAGGCCAAACAGAAGCCACTCCTCAGTAAAAGGCATGACAGCCCACTTGGAGTTTTCCAAAAGGCACCTAAAGGACTCTCAGATCATGAGAAACAAGATTCTCTGGTCTGATGAAACCAAGATTGAACACTTTGGCCAGAATGCAAAGTGTCACATCTGGAGGAAATATGGCACCATCCTTACGATCCTTGGGATGTTTTTCAGCAGCAGGGACTGGGAGACTAGTCAGAATCGAGGGTAAGATGAACGGAGGAAAGTACAGAGAGATCGCACTTGAACCTGATCGAACATCTCTGGAGAGACCTGAAAATAGCTGTGCAGCGACACTATTTTCCATCCAACCTGACAGCGCTTTAGATGATCTGCAGAGAAGAATGGGAGAAACTCCCCAAATACAAGTGTGCCAAGCTTGTAGCATCATACCCAAGAAGACTCAAGGCTGTAATCACTGCCAAAGGTGCTTCAACAAAGTACTGAGTAAATGGTCTGAATATGTATGGAAATATAAATTTGCTAAAATTTCTAAAAACCAGTTGTTGCTTTGTCATTATGGGGTAGTGTGTGTAGATTGATGAGGGGGGGGGGGGGGAAACAATTTAATCAATTTTAGAATAAGGCTGTAATGTAACAAAATGTGGAAAAAGTCAAGGGGTCTGAATACTTTCTGAATGCACTGTAGGTTATTTAAAGAGTGCATGACCAGTGGAGGAATTTACCGACAAATACATGGATTTCTTCTAGCCTAATTTCCTCTGTCAAACAGGTAGGCCTACCTCTTATTTCATAAATAGGAAGAAATAGGCTCCAACACAAAGCACTCTTGTTGTTAGTAAAGTCTAATTAAAATGAAGACGGTTTAAATGAATTATGCCTACTCGAATTTGCCTACTTGCAGCACCATGAGCTGTCCATTTCCGATTGATTGTGCTGCGGCTGCTGCTTCAAGTTTCTGCACCACAATGTAAGTTACTCGAATCTGGCTTATTGTGAGGTCAATAACTCTGATAAATACATAATTGGCAAGAAACATAGTTTTTTAAATAAAAACTCAATTATAGTGGTAGCAGGCTATAAAGTTGCCCTCCGGTCCTCCTTCTGATCTTCGCTCTCTCCTTCTCAAACGGAACAGAACATAGGCTATAGGCTAGTCTGCGCACATTTTTTGGAGTAGCCTAATAAAAAATTATTTTCAGAAGAAACCTTTGACTCTCCTCCTGAACTGCCACTGTAGCCCTACACAGCACACAAAAACGTTTTTGGTCAGCTATTTGTTAGTCAACTTGTCTATAATTAGATACATGCAGCTTATCTTCTGTCATTAGGTTATGTATTGCACTAGAATACTAAATAAACCCTTGCTCACCAGAATAATGTCATAAATCACTAAATCATCGGTAATGTTATCTTTCATCTCTGCTTCTTTCACGGAGCAAAGACGATTAGGGACCGGGGAGAATTTCTTTTTAAGGGACGATTTCCATGCAAAATGTCATCCGTTTGACCTGTCGTAAGGAAATAGAAAGCTGTGAAAACTACCCAACATGTTTGATACGATTTTAGATTTGGCTTGGATGAATATTTTATATGGTTATTATTTTATCTCTTTTTCTCCCCAATTGGTAGGTACAGTCTTGTCCCATCGCTGCAACTCCCCTACGTACTCGGGAGAGGCATGCGTCCTCCGAAACACGACCCTGCCAAGCCGCACTGCTTCTTGACATACCGCTCACTTAACCCGTAAGCCAGCCGCACCAATGTGTCGGAGGAAACACCGTCCAGCTAGCGACCGAAGTCAGCTTGCAGGCGCTCGGCCCACCACAAGGAGTCACTATAGCGTGATGGGACAAGGAAATCTCAGCCGGCCAAACCCTCCCCAAACCCGGACAACGCTTGGCCAATTGCGCCGCCTCATGGGTCTCCCGGTCACGGCCGGATGTGACACAGCCTGGGATTGAACCCAGGTCTTTAGTGACGCCTCAAGCACTGCGATGCATTGCCTTAGACCACTGCACCACTCGGGAGGCCAACATATTTTATATGGTTGAAATACTATCAGCTTTTATGATGCTGATAAAGATAGCGCCTCTACAGACGGCCCTTACTGCGCATTCGCATTCTCTCAAGATGCTGAAAGAAATCATATTTCTCCATTGACATCTGGTATATCATTTTACTACAGGATATGCTTAATTCTGCAGGAGTTAATATTAAGGCTGTGAAAGCTTATACTGTAGACCTACAGTCAGTGTCCAGATTTCAGTTTCCATTTAACCCATCTGAACAGTAGGCTACAGTTCCCTTGACGTGCCATAGGCCCATTTGAAGTCCCCATCTTAAGACTGTCGAATTTGTACAGTGCCTCACAATCATCACACAACATTCACTGGTATCATCCTCTTTTAACACTTCACAAAATATTTCCCACAATGTACTTTTCTGGCCCTCCCTTCTCTTCTCAACTCTCTATTTCGCAGCTTTTCTCTTATTGAATTAAACTCCAACATTGTCCTGACCTTTTCTGCCCGTTCCCAAAAGCATTTGGCACATCACCCAAGCAAGAAGGAAACCCAAAGAAACACAACATCATCTCCCCTCTGCATTCAAGCAGCCCTTGGCAGTTGATTCTGACCAGGCCAAAGAAATTACAAGAGCGTTAGGTAGGCTGTGTTAATATTTGGGTTTATAGCAGCAGATATGTGCCAATTCTCTGTGGTTGAGAACAGGGGGTTTCACCAACACGTGAAAGTACTCGAGCGACGTTATGAACGTCCCTCATGCACACATTTCAGCAAATACAGTTGAAGTCGGAAGTTTACATACACATTAGCCAAATACATTTAAACTCAGTTTTTCACAATTCCTGACATTTAATCCTAGTAAAAATGCCCTGTCTTAGGTCAGTTAGGATCACCACTTTATTTTAAGAATGTGAAATGTCAGAATAATATTAGAGAGAATGATTTATTTCAACTTTTATTCATTTCATCACATTCCCAGTGGGTCAGAAGTTTACATACACTCAATTAGTATTTGGTAGCATTTCCTTTAAATTGTTTAACTTGGGTCAAACCTTTCGGGTAGCCTTCCAGAAGCTTCCCACAATAGGTTTGGTGAATTTTGGCCCATTCCTCCTGACAGAGCTTGTGTAACTGAGTCATGTTTGTAGGCCTCCTTGCTCGCACACGCTTTTTCAGTTCTGTCCACATATTTTCTATAGGATTGAGGTCAGGGCTTTGTGATGGCCACTCCAATACCTTGACTTTGTTGTCCTTAAGCCATTTTGCCACAACTTTGGAATTATGCTTGGGGTCATTGTCCATTTCGAAGACCCATTTGCGACCAAGCTTTAACTTCCTGACTGATGCCTTGAGATGTTGCTTCAATATATCCACATAATGTTCCTTCCTCATGATGCCATCTATTTTGTGAAGTGCACCAGTCCCTCCTGCAGCAAAGCACCCCCACAGCATGATGCTGCCACCCCCGTGCTTCATGGTTGGGATGGTGTTCTTCAGCTTGCAAGGCACCCCCTTTTTCCTCCAAAGATAACGATGGTCATTATGGCCAAACAGTTCTATTTTTGTTTCATCAGACTAGAGGACATTTCTCCAAAAAGTACGATCTTTGTCCCCATGTGCAGTTGCAAACCGTAGTCTGGCTTTTTTATGGCGGTTTTGGAGCAGTGGCTTCTTCCTTGCTGAGCGGCCTTTCAGGTTATGTCGATATAGGACTCGTTTCACTGTGGCTATAGATACTTTTGTACCGGTTTCCTCCAGCATCTTCACAAGGTCCTTTGCTGTTGTTCTGGGATTGATTTGCACTTTTCGCACCAAAGTACGTGCATCTCTAGGAGACAGAACGCGTCTCCTTCCTGAGCGGTATGACGGCTGCGGGGTCCCATGGTGTTTATACTCGCGTACTATTGTTTGTACAGATGAACGTGGTACCGTCAGGCATTTGTAAATTGCTCCCAAGAATGAACCAGACTTTGTTTTCTGAGGTCTTGACTGATTTCTTTTGATTTTCCCACGATGTCAAGCAAAGAGGCACTGAGTTTGAAGGTAGGCCTTGAAATACATCCACAGGTACACCTCCAATTGACTCAAATTATGTCAATTAGCCTATCAGAAGCTTTTAAAGCCATGACATCATTTTCTGGAATTTTCCAAGCTGTTTAAAAGGCACAGTCAACTTAGTGTATGTAAACTTCTGACCCATTGGAATTGTGATACAGTGAATTATAAGTGAAATAATCTGTCTGTAAACAATTGTTGGAAAAATT